AAAGCTTTGGGTGAATACTCGAAAGATCGAGGAAAGGGATATGCCTACAAGTAAAATATTCTTTTTCTTAGAATTTCAGTAATACGCGTAATAATTGAACCTTGTACAAATTGAAGATTAATTAAGAACTAAATTTACATGTGTTGTTAAAAATAAATAAAAAGAATGAAAAGGGAAGTAAAAATTGTTAAAAAAAAAAAAATGCATGAACTTCGATAGGATCAACGTGATTGGTCAATTGGATTAACGTAAGTAAAGGGTGAAAGAGAATAAAGAATAAGACGAAGATAAAGAAATAGAAGAAGAAAGGACCAAAGTAAAAGAGAACGAAAAAAAAAAGAAACAAAAGTATCAAAGTAACAATAGAAAAGGAACGGATCTTTTCGCGAACGTGGCTTCCCTTTATATACCAATAGCAACGTCTTTTTTACTCTCAGTATTCTTAGCTTGGAATCTGTACTAGTAGCATTGTCCAGATTGTAGGTAGTCAGTGTCGGAAGAGAAAGAAACACTAGGAAAAGACATTTTTTCAAAGAGAGTTGTTATCTTGTGTTCTCTCTCTCTCTCTGCAAAACGTTGTCCGAGAATGTACATTTCATATATAACAAAACTAAAAGAAAAATAAATGCAAAGAAAGAAAGAAAGAAAGAGAAAGAGAAAGCTAATAGACTATGTTATATAAAGAAAATTCCCTAACCTAATCAAGTTATTTGACTTTCAGGGTTCGTCAAGCAATTTTTTTGCCATATAAATCATGCGACACGACTTCAGGTCGCCATACTGCATAGGTCTGTCTAGTGAATCTAATACTAAAAATAGAAAGGAAAGTGATGTTAAAACAATGATAACACACCAAGCCCTTTTAAACAACGCTCGTATTACGACGTTAAAAAATGTTAATCTGATTACTGAATCATCTGTGTAGGGATTGAAATATGACACACTATTAGTTTAAATTGTGCATTTAAATAAAAGTTGAGGTTAACTGGAAAATATGATTTCCATTTTTTTATTTCTGATTTGAAGATGTCTCCTATTTCTAGTCTCCAGCAATTCACGAACTCAAAGCTGCTATCCAATAATAAAAGGCGAGATTGAGATTGCTCGAGTGGTGGAGGTAAGATCGAGGTAAGGGGTCATCTAAAGAAGGTAACAAAGACGCTAGGAAGACAGCGTGATATTGGTGGCAATGGTGATGGTGGTGGAAGTGGTGTTGGTCGATCGAATACGTCGAAAAGGCGAATAACCTAAAAGAGAAAAGAGATTTCATACAGAAAGTAGAGTGAAAGATGTAAAAGAGAGAGAGAGAAAGATAGAAAGTGGTATTTCTTGCCAGATATGAGTCACTGACCCGTGCATAAATGAACGTTATGAATCCTACAGGCGGAATATTCATCCCCTTGGTGCCCTCTACCCTTTGGCTCGTTCGATTGGAATCGAAAGCATCGACGCTGCGGTGCCATATAGAGAAAATCAAGGATGTAGGAGAAGATGAAGGAGACCAAGGAAAGAGAGAAAAAGAGAGAGAAGAGGGAAAATTGGGGTGAGTTGGCTGCGTGGCTGAAATGGCCTCATCCTGACTGAATGAGAGAAAAAGAGAGAAAGAAAGAGAGAGAGAGAGAAATAGAAAAAAAGAAATCATAGACAGTGCGAGAGAAAGAAGAAACCTTTTCTATCTTGGCATAAGATCGAGAGGAAATCTTTGGGATCGTGAAAAAGAGAGAGAAGATTTTCCAACGTTTCATAGGGAAAGAAAAGCCAAAGCTGTTGAAAGAGAGGGCGGTGGAGGGATAGAATCGTAGACACCCTTCTTTCTACCAACGTCGATGAAAATCGCGCACAATTTACTCCAGCATAGTCATAGCTGCCACGCTTCTACGGAATAATGGATAACGTCTTGGAACATTTTCTTGTTGCCATACCACTAGCACTCGCTTATCCATTCCTTCAAGAATGACCCTTTTTCAATCGTTTTATTTTTTTTTTTTTTTTTTAATTCAATTATTAACTATGGAACTTTAATCGTAATCAAATGTTTCTTTTTCATTTCAACTCAAGATTCTTCAATAATTTTCTAAACATAGACTCGAAGTTAAGAGAATGAAACCATCATGAAAATTAGACCTTATTTTTCATAGTTCCAAGATAATAGTATTCTCCATCCTTTTTTTCATTGCAGTAACCTCTCACTCGTTTAAATTTTATATATGATAAATAAAGGAATAAAAATTAACGTTTGGCAAATTTTCAAAAATAATTCTCAATAAAATTCATTCAATTGTAGGAATAAATCAAATCAAATCAAATCAAATAAATAAAAGCAAATATCCAAAAATTCGTCAAAGATCTTGAACAAACAAGCAATAAATTTGAATCATAAAAAGTTAAGTATACAAATTTTATAATAAAATTTAAAACAAAAAATAAAAAAAATTGATACCATGAAAATTAAAAAAAAAAAAAACTGTCCAAAATTTGTCACAAATTGATGTCCCCCTGTTCTTTTGTTCCTATCAAATAGCACGTAGTAAATGTTCCAGAGAACCTTTTTTTATTATATCTAAATACCTAAACGTAAACCAGTAAAAAAAAAAAGGTGATCTCGTTAACAATAAATTCCTTCTCACTTTGCCCTTATCGATGAAGTAAAAGATAAGAAACTTTAGAAGATATTAAAAGAAACACTTGAAGTCAAGTTTTTGAGGAGATGAAGGGAGGGAAGAGGGATTTAAAAGAAGGATTCCTAGAAAGATACAGAGTACCAGCCAATAAAGACAAAGCATAAAACCCAAGATATGTAAGGGAAAACGTTACTCTGTAAATTTGAGAAGAATGATCCTTTGTATAACAAAGACTGGAAAGAAGGAAAAGAAGGAAGGATTGTAGTAGGATCCCTTCTTTGAAGAATCGCTTTGGAAGATTTAAAAAGATATGAGTGGAAACTACAAAAAGAATGATGAAGGTGGTAGGTGGGTGGTCGGTGGTAAACGTGTAGAGAGAGAGAGAGAGAGAGAGATAGAAAGAAGGGGACAGAAGAAGTGGGACAGGAGATTCTAGTAAAAGAAATCAGGACGTCCGTTCGTCCCCTTCGCTCGGACAAGACTGCGAAAATATTTGAAGTTGCGACGGTGAAGGAAAAATAAGGAGATTCCTTTGATAGGAATGCACGAGAAAGAACAAAAAAAAAAGAATAAGAAAAAAAAAATCTTGTTGAAAGAAATTGTTCTACACTAGGACAACGTGAAATAAATGAAAATTACTTTGGCTGAGTAGTTTTATTATTGGATGAGTAAAAATTGGACATATCTATGAATCAATAATCATTTTTATTATGTGTTTGAGAAAATTATGAATAAAAGACCAAGTAAGGTTGTCGAAAAAAATATTTAAAAATAATATTTTATAGTTTTCATAAATACTAATAAATATGTTTGATTTATCTTTGATATGATCTATCTTTTAGAATTCGAAGAATTTCGTTAGTAAAAATAAACAAAAAGAAAAGATAGAAAGAGAGAGAAAGAGAGAGAGAAAGAGAAATGAAGAAATCGAAGGAGTATTTTAAACGGAAAGCCAAGAAGTTGAATTCTCGTGACAATAAAATCTATCGTTCTTCGATGAAAGCAAGCCAAATCAATAGATTTTCTATCTCAATTGTGAAATATGATTTCTGCAAAGAGAAAAAGTAAAAGAGAAAAATAAAAAATGTCTATGTGTATGTCTGTTATTTCACACCTTGTACAAAAATACAAATGTAAAGGGCTTATGTGTAAGACAATGATTTGCGTACTATTAATCACGATAAGACAATGTTAAATATGATCGTCGACAGTCAGAAGCCAATCTGACATTGAAACGAGCGAATCTCTGTCTTTGTCTCTGCAAACATTTTCTTCTCTCTTATTCCAATTCCTTAAAGTTCTCCATCCGATTCGATGTTCCGATAACACTGGATTATACCAGGAAATTATGCAGTCTTTCTGATAAGATCCATCCTACGAAATTTCAACGTTCGTAGAAGTGCAGGACCTAACCACTCTATCTCTACATCTTCTTCCTTCCTTCCTTCCTTCATTCCTTTAGCCTTCTCGCTCTCTCTTTCTTTTTCTCTATCTCTCTTATACGTTCATCTATCTACCTGACTTTCTCGCCAAATGGCAACACGAATCTTTATGCAAATATCCGAATCTCCGCATAATACTAGTCATAAGCCTCTCCGCGCTTGTCTTGTGCCGCTTCACGGAAGATGGTGTCTACACTTTGTGCTCACTTTGCGATATTGCGTGTAACTTACAAGCACTCGACTTCCGTTGAACATTACTCCTTTCGAAGCACCACCATTACGACGATCTTCAAACGATCCTAACGAACCGTAAAAAAAAAAACTCACGCTTTCGACTACTAATAAAAGTAGAAAAATAATAATGACATTACTTTTTTCTATTATAATTTCAAAATAAAACTGATACTTAGCCATTTTGATTTTTTTTTTTTTATGCTCAAGAAAATTGTTCGGACAAATCATGCAGATTTTGAACGAATATTCAAAACCAACAATGTTTTAATTATTTACATATAATCTTTAAATTGTCACAAACATTTTTGAAGTAACCTAATACGGTGTAGCATGATTAACATTGAATAATGTTATCCTTGTTTTTATGCTTACGAACACCAATGCAAATAGAAAAGAGCATATATTCATATACATATATATATATAAAACGCATCGGTTTCACGATCGAAAGCTAACCGTTTTCTGCCGCCTTCGGGCATTTACCTTAATGAACGTCGTACGCCTTTATCGTTCGCCATTTGTCAGATCGTACTTTCAACCGAGAATTCAGCGTGCGCCGCCGGTTCTATCCATTCAGCTGAACCAACTATCCCGCACCCTAGCAATTTATTTTCATTTTCCCTTCGCGAACTCTTCTACACCTATATCGACACACCTACGTCGCAAGAACATACACACTACACTAAAACAAACGTAGACTTACCCAAACGTACACGGAGCACACAGACGATGCACACTTTTCGTGCTGAACGATTTCTCCAACGAAAGAAAAAGAGGAATGAAGGAAGGAAGGAAGGAAGAAAAAAAATTGGAAAAAACAAATTTGTAATCCCGCGACCACGATCCTCTTTGAATGATCGATTAAGATTAGGTAGCAACTATCTGAAATCCTTTCGATTCTCGTTTTTCAGTTTCTTTTTTTTTCTCTATCTTTCTTTTTGTTTTCATTTCGAATGCTGTAATATCTTTCCTAACGTAAATAACATTTTGAAACTACTCTTTCCGACTGACATAATCCGATAAAAAGTGTACTTTAACCAATGGATATAAATAAATGTATATTTATATTTAGGTTTTATCTTGACTTGATATTTCTATTTGTAAAAGTAAGACGTTTTATCAGATTAACTGAAAGATTATTGATTATATAGCTTAACAGAAATTGGATGACTTAGATGGAAAAGCATTTTCCAATAACAAATACTGTCTAATTATAATTCAAAAATTAATAATCAACTTTTAGGAGAAGTACTTGACTTGAACTACTTAAAAAATCGAATTCACGGACCGGAAAACTTTTACGACAAATTTTTCATACACGGACAACAAATTTTGCACAGAGGATGATCATTCGCGAATAAGACCCATTGCCGTTACATTCTATCCAGTACACTCCTAATTTACATTCGTAAACAACGAACGGTTTCAAGGTACAATACCTATACATACGCAAATAGATTCATCGTACAGTTAGTTAATTACAATCGCGCGTGTATTCGCGAACTAGCGAAGTCGAGAAGACGTTTCGTTACTCACCTCTTTTACCTATCGTCGTATTGGGTTATCGAGATTTTGTTAATTGGATTGAAGTAATTTAATTACGTAAGAAAGGTGCCGAAGAATACCTACAAATTCAAATTCCTTATATACTTATTAAATAATATTGCTGTTTTTCTTGTAACCCTTTATAGTAAAAAATGTATTTTCTCATTTATAAATATATATCAGAAAGAAAACGATTATAATTGGTGTTCATTTCAAACGCGTTATTATGCGATTTATGAAAATATATAAACTTCAATCTAACGTAATAATTGTAATAATATATAATCTCAATTTGTTTTTTTTCTTTCTTAATCTTTCATTTAAAAAAAACGAAATATTTTTTGTATTTATAAATATAAAATTATTTTTAAAAAATTATCTATTGTTTATTCAGTATACAAATTTAAGTAATCATATTTAAATATATGAATAGAAGTCTGTATGAATACATACAAATTCAAATTCTTTACCTACTTATTTCAAGATATCGATTTTTTCTTACAACCCTTCATTTAAAAAAAAAAATAATAATTTTTCTTATTCAATAATATATTATAATGAAAAACGAACTATTCATTGACTATTTTAAAAAGAATCATTAAAATGTATTAAAATCTATAATATATTATATAATAGATAATATCAAAACTCACCCTCGGTGATTTTCGCTTGTTGACGCTTTCGACGCACGGGAAGTTGCCACACTGAAAACACACGAGATCAAATTTAAATAGTAGCTTGATAAAGTTCCAAGAATGGATGGGGTGATAAAGAAAAGAGAAAATATATATCGTTGTATCGTAGCTGTCGGCCATGTTCCTTTGAATTGCTATGCTCCGATAAATACTGAAATGTAGGTACGTACGTATATACACGGTATTATACATATAAATAATTTATGAGAGATAATCTATCGAGTTTCGCGTGTTACTCTCTCCATCCACACATTTGCGTGTGTTTATGCGTAACGCGTCTATGTATTATATTCATGTATACATATGTTGGTGATAGAAAGAGAGGATAGGAGAGGGGATAGAGCTTGTCCGACCGAGTTGTGGCTGTACTACTTAGCCTCGCAACGGCTCGTAAATTCCGCTCGCATTATTTCGCAGCTTGTTTAAGCACGTACGCAAAATAAATCTAAACGATGTCCGCACGTCCTAGAAATTATAACAATTTCACTTGCACATGTGTCCATAGAGAAATAAATGTATACAGGATGTCCCCAAAGTCAATTCACTAAAACGAAAAATGATTAAAGTTGATATATTTAATAAATATCATTCAAGTGGAGACCTTACATTTTTATTATCATTATGACACATTCTTATGTTTAAATGAAAAACAGGATATTATAATAATTCTGCTAACTCTTACTCCCAACCCATATAGGGGTCATTCATATGCAAGTACGAACAACCTACTAATACAGTATAAGGAAATTTATATGAAACTATGATACTCGAGTCAAAGCATGTTGATAAAGTTAAATAAATGTTAATTAAAAATTACTTGAAAATAAAGTAACAGGGAAAAGAAAGAGATGAATGATGAGGTCGGATTTTTCTAAATGTAATTTATTATTTATTTAGTTCTCTCATTTTTTCGCAATTTCGTCTACTTTCTCATCTTCTTCCTCTTTTAAGATTAAACAAGATATTAAATCGATGATGACTCTCGTCGTCGCGAAAGGAAGACGAGGAGGTCGGAACGAATGAGAGCAAGGAGAGAAAAAAAGAAAAAAGAAAAATCGATCGAGATAGAAAGACAAAGAAAGAGGGAAAGACATGGTAAGGGTTGAAAGATTGAAAAAGGTTAGAAGAGGAAATAGGAGGAAAATATGAGAGAAGAACCGGACTAGAAGTAGCAACCCGATATTTACGATGACTCGTTATTATCGCGAGAACGAGGACATTACGCGTTCCTAGACGTGCTTTTTAAGAGGCTATATCGTTGAGAACCAGATTGTGCGCCTATTTTCATACCCCTCGTCAACGAGAACGATGACGACGATGAAGATAACGATGAAAATGACGATGACTAGGAGGAAGATGATGACTACGAAGACTAAGAGGATCTCGAATCGTTATCGTAATCGTAATTTCTAATATTCAACAACGGGTTTCGATCCATCCACCGTTAGAGAAGGTAAACGGGGCCACCTTGACGAACCTAAAGTAATAATCGTTAATCCGTCTGCAATTTAACTGTACGATTACCGAGTACCTGCCTTACTGCTTTGTACCCAACCTTGCAGTTCGACTTAATTGATGGTTACGAGGATTTATGTAGCGACGAAACTGTAATGAGGACACGTTTGCAACCTCTATTCGTTATTGTAGACAGAAAGAGACAAATATACAAATAGACCAGAAAAACAAAAAGAAATTAGAAAGGGAGAGACATTAGGTAAAACGCGATTTGCAAATTCTCATCAAAAAAGCACTGGCCCTCTCTTCAAACTTCATCTTTTTACTCGTTACGTAAAATGATTTTCAAACTTATGACTCCCTCTCTCTCTCTCTCTTTGTTTATAGATTTTTTTTTTTTGTAAAAAAATAAGTTATGTAAATCAGATTCTATCGAAAATTTACATTATTTTACTTAAATTTATTTTTACGTACATATATTGTATATCTATGGTAGACGGATGGATAATCGTAATTTTTGTTAATTTCATTGCTAAATGAGAGAGGTAATATGCATTAAAGATATAATTCGATTAATTTGAAATCAACATTTTCATTATTTTGTAATATTCAAAATAATATTAAAATATTTTTTTTTTTTATTCATTTTAATTAATACCTTATGAAATACTGAAAAATATTGCTGAAATATCGAAACTTTACATAAAAAAACAAAAAAGGAAAAAAAAGAGAACAATAAAATGGGTCACGAGAAAGAAAATATTTGTAAATGTTAAAATACGAAACAACAATAGCATGTTTTCGAGTGATCGAAGAGCAAGATAAAACAAGAAAAAAATCTCTTCTGACAGTTATTAAAGTCATTGTTTCTAGTTGGAGGGAAAAAAAAATTGAATTAGAGAGAGAAAGCAAAAGAAAGGAAAAGGTAAGCTAATCAGGCGTGTTAACAGAATTATCGCATACACGCTAGAGCTTTTTTCAAAGCTTTCGTTTATCATTCTCCAACATTTTTTTTTCTTCTTCCCCACCTCCATGTCGCTTTTATTCTCCGTCCTCTACCTTTTCCCCTCTCACTCTCACTCTCTCTCTCTCTCTCTCTCTCTCTCTCGAATACGTTCACCATTTTTTGCTCTAATTAAACAGCACCACCACCCTACTTTTAAATCCCAGCGGCCACAGCTCGATCCCCTTTCTCACCCTTCCTTCCTCTACTTCACCCCTCTTCTTCTCTCTTTCCCTAGTTTTTTAATCTCTCTCTCTCTCTCTCTCTCTCTTTCTCTCTTTCTCTCTTTCTCTCTTTTCCTCATCCCTCTTCGTTTCGATAGAATATTCCAGAAACATCTACTTACTTAAACACGCAAGAGCCAACCTTTTTGAACGAAAGGAAAGAACGGAGGTGACTTTAAGTTAAACAAAACTCTCTAATTCTTTTTCTTTATTTTTTTCTTTCTTTCTTTTTTTTTCTCTTTTATTCGTTTTTTTTTCTTTTTCTTTTTCTTTTTTTTTTTTTTTGTCCTTGCCACAAACCACAACCAGCACAGCCTCGAATTTTTATCGCTTCTAACCTTACAACGAAATTCCTTTTTCTTCTCTCTTTCTTTCTCTTTCTCTTTTCTCATTTTTTCTCTCTTCGATCTTCGTCACTTTAATAATCCATACTTTTTTTGACCTACCCATATTTCTTCCCTTATATTTCCGCTATACGTCTTTGTCTTTCTGTAAAAAAAAATTGGTTATACGTCCAGTTTTCTTTCCTTTAATGGACATCAAGACAATCATCGTACTACTTAAGAAAATAAAATACATTCAATTGAACGAATCTTTTTCTAGAAATATTTATTCATAAAATAATTTATTTTCGTAATCAAATTTAATTACGTTTAACAATTAATTATTGTACAATTATTAATCGATCGGAAATTACCTTACGAGAGTATAAATTACATAAATTTATTTATATTTATACATTTGTATTTTATTTATTAAGTATCACTGTTTGTTTGCTTGTTTGTTTGTGTGTGTGTGTGTGTGATAATAATTCTATTTAATCAAATCGTATTGAATTATTTGTAAACGCCATTCACATAGTAATCGAATAATATTTGTTTGTGATATTCAACATATAAAGATATTTCATTTATAAATTATACAGGAAATTTCATAATACGTAGGCCCTAATTTAAAAATATAAACAGGGTGTATAAAAACAATGAAACAATGTTCATATAAAAACGTGCCCTATTTAATTCTATTTCAAAGTTATAGCCATTTTACTCTTTGAGTGCTGAATACTTTTAACTAAAATGTTTTGTAACAACGAAATAATTAAAGTTTTTGTTTCTGTGTGTATGTGTGAATGTAATTTAATTAATTAATATAAATATTATCATTACTTTATATTAATATTAACAAAAACACGTGTATGCGTCGATAGACCACTCTGGTAATTTTTACCAAATGCATATATGCGTCCATAGCACTTTAAGGGTTAAGGGTTCTAATAATTCCAAAAGATACTCAAAAAGATCATCTTTGGTTTAGATTTCTAAACAATGTTCTACATTTTGCAAAAATATATTTCTTGTCCAAGTCTATGTCACACATTTCGTTAATTACATTTATTCACAATAGTTTGAATGTTCGGTTCTCTTACCAGAAGTACATCATTATTTTCTATTTGCTGTGCATTCAAAGTTATAAGTGTGTAATTAGATATTTATTTCTGGGCTCATTTAAAAACAATCGCGTATTCGACACAACTATCCTATCGTCATCATTGAAAAACTTCAATGCATATACAAAAAAAGGTCTGACAACATATTCAACGTGTAGCAGAAATTTTGGATAGACTGCAATGCAACGCATCATCGACTAAAATAACCCATACAACCCTTAAATACATGAATAATAATATATTCCGAATTTATCAAACATTTTCTAACAACAAACTAACTTTCACACATCAATATTTATTTTAAATCTCTCAATTTGAATTATTTCGCAAAATTAATATAATAAAAATGTAAGTAAAAAAAAAAAAAGAAAAAAGAGAAGATTGATCGATGAATAAAAAAGAAAGAAAAAAAAAGCTCGACCAACTAACGATAAGAAATAACCATGCGATAAAAAGTTTATTCTAGTAGAATATAAGAAGAAGAAGAAGAAGAAGAAGAAGAAAAGAATGTCGTAATTGTAACTAATGAGATCTTTCGAATTGATTAAAATGTTCAAGGTCAGATCTTGATTCGATAGAACAAAGTCGAGTTAAATATCACTAGGAATGTTTTAGATGAGATGATAGAAGAAATGAAGTGTCTATATGTATGTAAAAAAGAAAGAGAAAAAGAGAGGAATATAGAGAAAGAGAGAGAGAGAGAGAAAAAGAGAGAAAGAGAGGTCCAGGTGACGAAGGTAGACGAAGACGTATCGATTATCCCCCTCGACTTTGCGCAAACGAGACCACAGCGACGCGAAAGTACGATCGAAGATAAAGGTTACGTTTCTCGAGAAAGACGAAACGAAAACGACCAACGAAAACGACGAGGGTGGTCGTG